TAAACATTAAAAATATTTATTCTTTATTTTGAAATTGTTTAAATTTTAAACTATTTTTCTTAACTTTGAATATTTGCATAGCAGTTTTATTATTTTTTTTTTGCACGATCATCTAAGGAAGTAATTTCGGAATTTTGAGACAAAAATTTTCAAAATTTTAAGGAAAGAAAATAAAAAATGGGTGGTATTTCACTCTCACTTTTCATTTATTCTTCTATCTCATCATAAATCATTTAAACAATTGAAAACAATATGAATGGCCACTCGTTACAGATCATATGGCGAATGACCATTTATCATTTCGAATCACTTTATAATGAATACAATGATAAACTATAGCACCTGTAAAATTTATAGAAGTTAAAATTTTATCTTAATCAATTTAGAATTACTCATATTAACAAAATAATTTATTAAATTCGATCTCTCTAAATCATAAATCATTAATATAAAAAAATTGATTCGATTTTATTTAAATTTGATTGTTAGAGAATGTATTAACAAATGATATACAGTATATGAAAAATGAATATTTAAATAGGCCTATTCAATTAAATATTAAAAATTTTAAATGATTATTTCATAAAATAATAAAATAAACGTTTATACATAAAAATCACAATTAATAATTGCCTTTTGTTCAAGCTTTAAATTAACAATTTGTCAAAAATTTATATTTTCATGCGTTAAAATAAATTAAGTAACGTAAAAAGTTGAAAATTTTTAGCTTAAAAATTGTAATTGAAATTGTTAAGTTCTTAGGGGTGTATAGATCTCTAATCGTAGATCGCCGTTTAACATATAACAAAGAAACTGTTATAACGGTCGGACTGGACACCGGTCACGTCCTGCTCGTCCGACTGACCCGAACAAAAGACATCACTGAATCGCGCGCCCACACGTAGGTGTAACCTGATCGGTTCCAGATTGAACCCCGGTCGTTAGGTTTTCACACGTGGAAAACACTTGACCCAACAACTCCCCTTTTAAGAAAGAAAACAACTGGCCGAATTGGCGGTTTACGCCGCATAATAGTTCTTTCCAGAAGGATTGACTCGAAGCTGTCCAGTTGGGATTCGAGTGCAAGCAAATCGGCGCGGAGGCTGCGATGTTACTTTCTCGGGTGGCGATTCTTCATCACTTATGGTTGAGCGGAGATGAGACGCGATAAAGCATCAGCTTGTCCAAATTCGGTAGTCTTCCGATATTCGATCTTGAAGTTGTATTCAAGAAGAGTCATTGCCCAGCGTTGCAAACGGTTGGCTGTGTGTGTGTCGGAATACGTTTCTTGTTGTCGAAGATGGCGAGAAGAGATTTGTGATCTGTGAGAAGCGTGACGGAAGAAAGGTCGTCCGTAAATCATCTTGTGGAACTTGTGAACAGCGAAGATGAGTGCAACACCTTCTTTTTCGATTTGACCATAGTTCTTCTCGGCTAGAGTGAGCGCGCAAGACAAGTGAGCGATAGACTTAATTGATCCGTCGGGCAGGCGGTGTTGGATGACGGCACTAAGCTCTAGACTTGATGCGTCGGCTGCGATGATGATATCGAGCATCGGATCATAGTGTGTGAAAAGTAAATCTGACTTGAGAATGTCCTTGATGCGTTGGAGGGTCCGTCGACATTTGTTCGACCACTGCCACTATCGGTCTTTCTGGAATAATTCGTCTAGTGGTTGGCGAATTTGACGCATTTTGTGGACGAAGGTTTAGTAGTATTTTACCATACCGAGAAATGAGCGAAATGTGAATAGGTCTGTCGGCGGCGGCATATTGATGATAGTGTCAACCTTAGAAGGGTTCGGGCGGCGTCCGTCCTTATCGACGATGTAGCCTAAGTATTTAATGGAATCCTTGAAGAATGCGCACTTCTCCGGTCGGATTCGGAACCCATAGTCGTGGATGCGACGGAACACCTCGTGGAGATGTCGGTGATGATCGTCCACGTTGCCACTAACGATGACTATATCGTCTAGATATACAAAGGCGAACGATAGTCCCGAGATCATGAAGTCCATGATCGATTGGAAGATGCCTGGATCCGATTTCACTCCGAATGGAAGACGTTGGAATTCGTAGAATCCGCGGTTTGTTGCAATATTGCAGAATTTTTTGGAACTTTCCTCGAGTTCCACTTGAAAATAGGCGTCAGAAAAGTCTATTTGTGAGAATATTCGACCGCTGTTGAGTGTGGAAAAGATGTCTTCCGGAAGTGGTAATGGGTGCTGATTGAGCTGGAGAGCGTCGTTGAGACCCGTTGAGTAGTCTACACACAAACGTGACGATCCGTTGGGTTTCGTAATTACTATAATAGGAGCAGCCCATTCTACATAGTCGACGGTTTTGATGACTCCTAAGTTCAGCAGGAGATCGAGTTTCTCTTCCACTTTCGGTCGTGAGGCGTAGGGAACTAATCTGGCCTTGCGTTTGACAGGTGTGATGTCTGGCTTCAACATTAACAAAGCTTTCGTTACCTTGCAGAGTCCCAGTCCTTCCCCGAAAACTTCTGGAAAGTTGCGCTGCAACGATTCGATAACTCGAAGCTCATTGTTTGACTTCTAACAGGTGTTGACGTCATAGACCTTAGCAGCGAAAAATTGAAAGTGATGCAAAGCGTCGATTCGGAGGAAGTTGAGAGCTCCTTTCTTGGCTACATAGAACGGTTCTTCTTTGCGGATGTCATTGTGACAGAAGGTGGTGCGTCCCTTCCCTAAGAATGGTGGCAAGAGAGTACTTCCGTGATAAGATCTGGCTCGTTCCGTACAAGGCTGGAGTGTGGTCATCCAATGGCATCGTATGTCGTTTTTCGTCGATAATGTTAATTAATTAATTTCAGATCCATTATCGAGATAGAAGTCGACTGGGTATCCATTAACTTCAATCTTTTTAGCAGTCGGTAGGCGTTTACAAAATTTCTGATAATTCCTACGCTGGCTGAGCACACTTGCCTTTTCTTCCGTGGTCGTCGACATAATTTTTCTAAATGTCCTACGCAATTGCACTTTTGGCATTTGTGCCTTATGTGTGGACAGTCTTTGTACCAATGCCACTCATCACATCGCTTGCAAGTACTCGGTAAACGATTTGTCTTCTTGGTCTTTTCTTCTTTAGGCGGGGTCTTGGCGCGGACGTTATTAACCAGACGTTCTGTTTCTTCGTATAACTTATTTTCGGAACGCATCGCTATAAAATCTTCACAGTCGTTCATCACGTCGTCGAATGTAACGTTTTCTCCATCCGAGTTAAGTTTCTGGAGAATTCCAGCGCGTAATGACTCATGGGCTTTCGACTTAAGTCCAGTGAGAACGACGAGACAAAAGAACTGTTCTTCTGTCTGAGCACGAAAGTTATATCGTTGTCTGGCCGATCTCACTCGGTTCGTGAAATGGCTGAAGTCTTCACCATCGTCAATTGCAATGCGTAGACAGTCATAGCGGTCCGCGAAGATCGAACGTTTCTTGCTAAAAGGTTGGCGAAGTCGCGAAGTGGTTTCCTCGTAGTCGAAGTCCGTAATACACTTCAGCATACAGTACTTATTGTACTCGTTGAAGGCGGACGCAGAAAGTTTAGTCATAAGGAACTTGACTTTCTCCTGGTCGGGCATCTTGGATGCCGCGCAGTCCAGAGCGAATTCAAAACGACTTACCCACTTGTCGAATTTTGAGCCGTCTTCTTCATCAGGTTGGAATTCCGGTAACTGAGGGAGTGTTCCTGAGGACGATGTTTACGATGAAGATGATGAGGAAGATGTGGGTATAGACGAACGAATGTCTTTGATAAGTTCGTATAAAGCCTCCTCTCGGCGTCGTGCGGCCTCCTGTTGTTCTGCGAGTAATGATTTTACGAGTGATTTCACTGATCGCCGTATTCTTAAGCCTTTATCCTCGTCGCTACTGTTAAGTTCTTAGGGGTATATAGATCTCTAATCGTAGATCGCCGTTTAATATATAACAAAAAAACTGTTATAACGGTCGGACTGGACACCAGTCACGTCCTGCACGTCTGACTGACCCGAACAAAAGACATTCCCGAATCGCGCGCCCACACGTAGGTGTAACCTGATCGGTTCCAGATTGAACCCCGGTCGTTAGGACACGTGGAAAACACCTGACCCAACAGAAATGATGTAAGTAAACATAACTGTTGAAGAAGGAATCTTGAAACCATCTTTCTGAATAATTTTGCTTTCTGTTCATTTTATCTCGAAGTGTTTACGAGGTTTACGACAATTTTTCAAATTTTTTTCAGTGATAGGCTATCAGATATATAATATATTCTGAAATAAGTAAAATATTTAAAATTAAAAAAAATATATTAACTCGTTTTCATTTTCCAGCAATAGATTTACTTCACAATTTATCATTTTTAATTTTCTCTTCGAAATTAAGATACAGAATCCTTTATCTAAAAACGAAAAACGATGTTTAAAGTTCACTTTTTCATTGTGTAAAAGTTTATTTTTTGTCTAGATAGAATTAATTTAAAACGATGAAATACAATATTTAAATAATCTCGAGAATGATATGGAAAAAATTTAATAAAAATTGATAAATTTAAGCCGATTTACGGGTGAAAGGCCCCCACGCATAGCTTTTGGAAATACCTTTACCGTAATTTATTGTTTCTTCTGATCTTGTGAATTTTAACCAAGCAGATTTCTTTAATAAACTTTTCGATGAATATAAGGTGGATTGTCAGGTATAAAAATAATACTAACTATAAACGATGTTAATGACACTCGTTTAAAGGTACATTGTCCTTATGAGGAAAACTAAGAATGACAAAAAATTTATTGATTTTCTGATAGACGAGGATCAATTATCAGAAAATCAATGAGTTGTTTCATTATTCTTAATTTTCTGATTTTAAATTATGCCTTTAGGAATTTTTTCTTATTATTTAAGCTTATATCTTTTATTACTGCTTAAAGTTTCTTTATAAATAAAATCCAGCAACGAATTGCTTCCATTAATCTTCTTCTTTTTCCTCCCGGGTTTATATGGAGAACGAGTTGCTTCACTTTCCCGGCAACATATTAAACTGTGTGTGTAGCGCCATCTGTTATGATATTTTATTATTAAAACTTTTTATATTTTTAATTATTATAAATGTCAAAAAGGTTAAATCTGAGGGTAAGGATGTGTTTTATAAAAGTAGTATAAAAAAGTAAATAAATAGTATAACGAGTAAAATCGTCATTAAGTCCGACCGCACTCGAGATATTACACACGGCTCCCCTTTATCTTTCCATCCCCCTCGACCTTTAACCACAAAAAATTTAATAACATCAATCCTCCTAATACACAAATTCCCTGCAATATTTCAGAAATTTTCGACAAAAAGCAAAGGAGTTACGAAGCTTCGAAAAGGGTAAACAAAACCATACACCAACACACGCCTTCCCACACACAAACGCTAACATTCATACAAACAGAAAAAAAAAAACGAATTCTCGACGTTTCAAGGTGTCCTAAGTCCAAAAATGTAAATATCTGAGAGGGGGTAATTTTTGATCGATTGCCATACTTTCTGTTATATATAACAAAGTTCGTAAAGTAATATAGTAATATACAGAGAAATTTCTTCAATTTCAAAATAAAAGTTTAAAAATATGTTAAAAACATAAATTAGACTTTTGTAATAAATGTATAGAATTTCACCTATAAATGCTCTAATAATTTATACAATATTAGTAGTAGAAAAAGTAGAAAGAGACATTAATCAATGCAATATCAATATTTCAAAACTAAATCGAAGAATGTATAAAACTTCATTTAAAATGAAATTTGTAACATATTGTTAAATTCTATTAATTCTTGATGATTTTGGCTCTGTAAATATTTTGTAGAATTAACAGAACGAAATTTTAGAAAGTGATAAGTTACACAGATCTCAAATATTATACTGGGATCTGTGAAAGTCGTCAATATATCTAAAGGTCGAATCCCACTAGAATATATATAACGCTGCATGTTATTGATCTACAAACACTGACATGCAGACTGGACATTCCTATCACATTTTCTCTTCTCTTTTGTTACAGAAAGTTGTTAATAGCAACCAACGGGAAATAGCACTATACTATACAAGACAATCTATTAGAATAGTTATTAAATGTATTGAAAATTAATAGTAACTATCATTGAGTGTAATAAAATATTTTAATTTAGACAGAATATAACTGTTTATTTTAAATTTAAATCTATTATTTTATCTAAAATCGTATTTCAATTTAAGAAATATTTTCCATAAATGTGTGTGTAGGCGTGTATTTCATTTAATATCTCAGGATGGGGTAAAGATTAAGAAACGAAATCTGGCGTGATAAAGTGTATGCAAGGAACATTCATGTTATTAAATCTTAGTGGTTAAAGTTCTAGGGGGTGGGTAGATATGAGGTCATGTGTTATATCTCGGGTAGAATCAGATTTAATGAAAATTTTACTCGTTATTGGCACTTACAATATTTTAAAAAATTCATTTCTCCTCAAAATTAAGTCTTTTGTTTTTTTTATTATAATTAATAATATAAAAGTTATTTTAAATTAAAATATCAAACAGATGGCGCCACACACAAATTTAAACTTTGTTAAGGGAGTGTCTTGAAAAAAATATTTTCTCCGGGAAAATTATACAACTCATTGCTGGATTTTTTGAAATTCTTTTAAAACAAGACGTCGCGCTAATTTGCCATAAAAATATGGTATTTCTACTCTGATTATTATTTTATATATTAATAAAATTATAAACAAGATTTTAGAAATTATTGAAGATTAATTAAATTAATAATAATATAAATTTAAAATTCTGAAATAGCGATTAATTCATTTAATTAAATTGAAATTTAAATATTTCTACTAATATCGAGTTGACTTAAAAATACTTTATTATTAAAGAAAAATTATTTAATTGCAGTATATTGCATTACATTAATGATAAAAATTTAACTGAAAAATTTAATTTTAAAAAGATAAATACAATGAAAATGTAAAAGCAGATGGAAAAGTATACAATGTAGTATATATATTGGTATAAATATGAAGATGTTATTACTAACTGGAAAATATCCTTTAAAACGTCCTTCTAAAATGTTGCAGAAAGACCACCTTTCCGCATAGAAACATTTCCGAAAAACGTTACTATTTCTAGGATGAAGTTTATGGAGGGCTATCGTAGTCCATAATTTTACATTGGATCCTTCTAGCCCTGATCTGAGGATCAGTTTCATGTTTCTGATTTCAGTCGTGATGTATCTTCCCGACTTTCTCTGTCCGTGTATTCTCTTTCTACACTCGTTCCTTTTTTCAGTTAAGTGTCCGGTTATAAAAGTGCCGAAATATATGAAAATTAAAAGTTTTAATTTTCATAAATTTAAGATTTTGTCATTCTAAATAACATTTTGAATGAAAAGCATTCGTTTCGATGCAATTTTATTCTTAAGAGCATGAAATTAAGCAACAAAGTTAAAATACAGCGATAACACGGTAGTACACGTGTTATGAGAATCTGAGCTATACGAAACAAAGGACGAGTACAAAACGTAGTGTTAGCTTCCAAAATTTAGCAAAAGTATGCTATTTTTTCGTAATTAAAAGAAATATGTTTATTAAAGCAATCAATAATTAACTAATCAATAACTAACAATCACAATCAAAAGTATTGTATGTTAATATTAATTTTTTTTCCACTGCTAAGCACTATTAATTAAACGAGGACGTTTTCTTTTCCACAAAATATCACGTTGTAAGCTTTCCTTTTAATCTGAAGCAATGATTTCCAAATTTTTTCGAGCTATTGCCCTCTTGGTTTCATAATCTTATAACCAATGTCCCTAACCAATTTTCCCTTATGTGAGAAAATTTTGGAAATATTCTTAGAAAAATTTTTCTATGAACCTCACACTTTGTGTCGTTACCATACATTATTCTGCATATCTGGAAACTATTAAACGCAATGTTTCTTCTTACCCGTTTTTAATAAAGAAAAGGAAACGGTTTGCCAGTGACCTCAATAGTGCCCATAGTAACATTAGGTCGGTACACTGCCTCCCACGCCCCCTGCCTCCACTTGCTTTTTTGCCCCCTAAATTTACTCACTCGCCCACAGAAGGCAGTAGCGCCTACTTCGGGAACCACTGATCTGAAGTATCAGCAACATCTTGATTTTTATATATTTTTTCATAAAGTATGATATTTTCATTTGCTTGCATTTGAATAAAAGATCTTTAAAAATTTAATCTTTTCATGTAGTAACTTTTAATTTAATCTATAAAAACTAACAACTGTGACTTCGTTTAGATCACCGACGACATCGACGCCTGGTTTATAGGAAAGCTAGAGTAGGAAGGTAGAACGAGGAAGAAAAATTGTACATTCAGTTCTCATTAAAGAAAATCGGGAGAAACGTACGAATTAACATTAAAAATTTTAATACAATATTCTAAAATCCATGGACAAATATGAGACAACATGCATGCTTACTTGAATAAAAAATTATCTAATGACGGTGCTTGCATTTAAAAATTGTGACTTTTTGAACGGTGATATCTCCAAGTCTCGAACCTTTCTGACAGTGGCGTAGCGAACATAACTGGCATCCGGGGCA